GCCCCTGGCACCAGGGCATCCTGATGGGAGGAGGGGATGTGGCCAGGGAGCTCTGCACTCCAGTTATTCTGGGCTGTAGAATGGCCACAAGTTAGAACAGCCCCTCGGACCTAACTTCAACAGGAGGCTATGCAGCCCCCACTGAACCCAGAATCCAGGAGGTACAGAGATGGCTTAAAGCCACCTTTCCCCTCACCACCCTGGGCTATATTGCCTGAGGCACAGCACAGAACCCAGGCTCCTGGCCTCCCATTACATTTTGAGAAAACTGCAGCATCCCACTGGAGATGCCAGGTCCTTCACAGGTTGGTCTTTCAGCTCCCTTCTGTCTATCTACAAAGCATCAACCAGTCTCATATCTTGGCACTGTATCTACTCCCCCTGGCTACATCTACCATCCCAGCACTTTCACCTACAGGATCTTTCATCCAAGGATCTCAAAGCACCTGACAAGCTTTAATTAAACAGCACAACATTCCTCCAAGGTATCTTTATCCCCATTCTGCAGATAGTGAAACCCAGGCACACAGAGAAGAAATGACACAATGCATGTCCAGGGCAGAGCTGGAATAGCACCCAGAGTCCTGACTTCCAGTCTCTCAGCTCTTACCACCAGGCCACTCTGCAGCATTTGTGGGTTTATAGCAGCTCCACGGCATGGTGCAGCATGATGAGCATGGGGTGATAAAACCCTGTTGAAAGCAGTGAGGGAAGGTACGCAGAACGGCCACGTGGCTGTCTGTTCTTAGAAACTGGGACACATTTTGAAATCTCTCTCGGCCCTTGTTATGAAAGTCCCTGTCTCAGATTAATTGAGTTCTGTCTCAGCGTGTGAGTTTCACCATCTCAGAAAGCTATGCCCAAGGTGTGTGCAGAGGACAAAAGAGATGCAAATCAGCATGCACACACGCACACACACACGACATTTCTGGTTGGAAATCACAAGTTTCTCTCATTCTAAGGGAAGACAAAACAGCATGTACCCTCTAGAACCATGGCTGGACGCTCACATAGGATTTTAGGTCACCATTTACCCTGCTGTTCGGCACACACAAAATGTGTAATGTGTAGCAACCAGTGCCTCCCCTGGGAGAGTAAACCAGACAGTGAGATCCTGAGCTCTGCCTGATGGAAATGCACCTGGCAACACGAACAAGAAACACAGAGGCAAATTTCCTTCCAATATCTGCCCACTGCTTGCACGTTTATTACTGACACTGCAGTATTTTTAATGGCTAAATTTATTATACGAGAGAGGATAATAGATCAGAGACTATGTGAGAAAATCCTCCCTGATATTTCAGGACAACGTCATTTCAAAGCAAGTTCAAAGCTTTTCAAACCTTGGGCAAGTCTGTAGGGCTAGATTCCCATTTATTTCAATAGGAGCTAGATGTCTAAGTACCTTTGTGAATCTGGGCCTCGGTTCTCCATCTATAAAATGGAGATGATAATACTCCTTGTCTTCACCCTTGTCTATTTACGCTGTAAGTTTCTTGGGGCAGGGACTGCTTCTCGCTATGTGTCTGTTCAGCGCTCAGTACTATGGGTCCCTTTTCTCAACCGGAGCCTTTTTGCACAAACAGAAGACACCAGTTGTGCCAAATAAATGCTATTCATTAATGTCACGCTGCCATTTATAGTCTTAAAGCCCCGGGTTTAACTTGGGATTTCTAAAGGGACACAACTAAAGATAGGTGGCCCCAAAACACAATCTATCCATCTGCCTAAAACTGTCTGCAGACTCCATGAGTTTTCCCCCCAGAATGGGAACTTAATGTTCCTTGCTTAAAAATAAATCCGTGCTGGTCGCCCAGCACACAAGCCACATCTTTTAAATCCCACCTTTGCTTTGCAGAACACTGTCTTCTAGCACTGCCTGGGCTGTAGGCTCCCTGCAACTGCGGACCCCTGGGAACACGCCCCCAGCCCCATCTCTAACGCTACCAGGTCCTCCCTTGTCTGAGCGCATTATTTAGCTGTTGCATAGTCTGTAAGCTCTCTGGGACAGGGGCTGTCTTTCAACATTGGAGCTAAATGGAGTACTAATCTGGGTAACTGTTTCTATAGAAATAATTAAGTAATAATAATTGTTGTAGTGAAGCAGAAAGCATCAGGAAAGAAAGAGGTTTCAAGTTTTCCAGGCAGTTACTAAAAATACACAATAAAAGTATCACCAGTGAGTCAAGAGGGCAAGGGCTTAAATCCATAGAAGCTAAACTATGCAGACAGTGCCACCTAGCCATATTTTATCAGCTTCCCCATTCTGCCTATCCCATTGATTTCTGTAACTTTGAAAGCTCTGGCAGGTAGAGGTGATGCTCACTAACTTAAATCAGATCCATTGCCAGGCCAGGCCAGTCCAGTCCAGTCCAGTCCAGTCCCCTCCCCCCCCCCACACACACACAGAAACCCACCACTGCTGCATCCCTTTGTCCTCCTGGAGTAATTCCCTTCAGCTGAGCCCTATCCAATTACCTCTCGTCCCCTGCCTGGCTGTCTGGCAATCCCTGCAGTGAGGAGACAAACACCTGTGGTGAGTTCTGTGTCCAGGAGAGCATTTTAACTCCTTCCTTGCCACCCAGTGGCTGGGTTTATATTCACCCTGTTACACAGATGAGCAGAGCCTTGGACGTGTCCCTGTAACATTCATGGTGGAAATACAGTCTTTGTATAATACAAGGACAGATGGCTCAGCTCACCAAAGTTCCTAATTTGGGTCCTATATTTCTAGGGTTATCCATCTGCAGTGGGGTCAATTCCTCCCTTGCATAATGACAGGTTTCAGAGTAACAGCCGTGTTAGTCTGTATTCGCAAAAAGAAAAGGAGGACTTGTGGCACCTTAGAGACTAACAAATTTATTTGACCACTGATGTCCATCTGTTTGCATTTGGAGAGGAAGATGATGTCTGTCTGTATCTGCACGAGTTTTTTCATGAAGTTGATAGATACATTTGTTAGTCTCTAAGGTGCCACAAGTACTCCTTTTCTTTTTGCGAATTCCTCCCTTGATATACACACCTATTTCTCATGGAGTCTAATGGAAGAATAAGCCTACTGATGGGAAGGCAATACCCGCAGTGTTCCAAGGTGGATCAAACCCCAGACAGGACATCTCAGGTGGTCTAAACCAAGCAGACTTTAAAGGAGAAAGCCCAGTACAATGCAGCCTGCTTAATTTGTATATCAGAGCCTTAAGGCTGGAGGCAAACACCCCTGAACACTGGGAATGTTCCGATTTAGATTTGTATCCAAACCGTACAACACAGTGCCGCCTCTGCTTAGCACACAGAGTAGCAGAACGCTTCCTGGGGAGAACCATCCAATGGCCCAAAGCCCAGCTAGTTTGCCTTGAAAACCTTGTCCCCGTAATGTAATTTTAAATCTTGCTACAGTGGTTCCTCCTGCTGCACTGGGGCCCAGGTCTAAATCTCAGAAACGTTCTTTGCTTAGTGCAACACAGCACTTCCCAGATGGTCAGTCATCTGGAAGCACCAACATGGTTTGGAAAGTGAGATTCTGCTTGCATCGGAAACAAAGCAAACCCAGAGCTAGTGCAGGCAGGGCTTCGTGTTGCCTGCTGAGTACTGGGCAAACCTCTGATAGTCTTGTGCTTCCTTCTTGTCTGCAGGCTGACTGGTGTTCCGATCACCTGAGTCTTGAGGCAACAGGAAAGCAGCTTTCTGCAGATCAGGGGGACATTTTGGTTTGCTCATGACAAGAGCCAATTTTGGTTCCAAAAAGGCCAAGGAAACCAAACTCCCAGTCTCTGATGGTAGTTTTGTCTCTCATCTGCAGCAGGTTTATTGGTAAAAAAGCTGGAGATCGGACCAGGCAAACAGAAAGCGACACCAAAACAAAAATATTTCATGTAGTTATGTTTGATTGTCTGATTGGATTAAGGAAGCCTGGTCTAGTGGATAGGGTAGTGATCTTGGAGTCTATTCCCAGCACTAGCAATGGCCTATTCTGTGACCTTGGACAAGTTACTTCCCCTCTCTTTGCCTCTGTTTCCCCTTCCACCTTTTTGTCTGTCTTGTCTATTTAGAGTGCAAACACTTTGGGACGGGACTCTCTCCTTCTGTGTATGTACAGCACCTAGCAAAATGGGGCCCTGGTCTCAGTTGGGGTTTCTAAGCACTACTGAAATACAGATCATTATTCAAATTAATTGTCTGCTATGGGTTCTCCTTGTCACAGCACCTATAACATTCAGAAAGTCATTGCATGTAACAGAGACTGCCTAACTGGTTCTGGACTGTGGCTCTGGGAGTGGCAGGGACTAGCTTAGTCTTCTCTAGGTGGATTGGTTTTCTGCAGTGTGCATATTCCTAAAAAAAAGTCAGCACGTTTTAAAACTGTCATAGTGACACACCATGTGTCAATGCCTCATCATGTCCTGTTCATCCGCCCGTCACCGTGCTGCCATGGACCGTAGCGCCTGGCCTTGCTGCCCCGCACTCTGTCACGGCATGGAATGCCTCCCAAACACATGTCTGCATTTTACCTTTTTGCTCTGCAAGGTGAGCTTTCCAATAGCTTCCAGCATTATACCGCACCAAGTCCAAGATTCGCTCTCTCATCCAGGACCAGGGGAAAACAAATGCTGTGACATGTGGATGAGTCGTGTTGCATGGTTGTACCGTCCTGCATGGATATGTAGCCAGACACACAGATACGTAGGTGCCCAGTGGTGCACGGAAGCATGAATACACATTGATGCATGAATCCACAGGGATGAAGTATGAACCTACAAGTAATGCACAACTCTTCACTGACACATGAATGCATGGAAACACGTGGACACACTGTGATGCACAAAACACATGAAACCACAAGACATACACAGCTCTCCAGGGATGCATGGGGCTGCATGGATGCATGTTGATTCATGTCTCAATGAAGTCCAAAAACTTAGAAATGCATGGACCTGCAGTGAGACACATCTTTGCAGTGATACGTGGACATTTTTAAAACATGCTCTGGCTTTTTATTTTAGGAATGTGCCAAGGGATAAATATTAACCATCCGGGGAATGTGAAAGAAAGCCCTGACGTCGCTGCTGTCTGGAAGCAGCTCTGCTTTCCTAGCCCATACGGTGATGTTCTTGAATCTTTTAGCCTCTGTTCTTCCCTTAGAACCTCTCCATCAGCCACAATCCCAAGTGTCACAACTGTCAGAACTTTACCCTTTGCTAGTCAGTTCCGAAGGGAAACCCATGCAACCTGTCCTTCAGTCCCCCGACGTTGTCAGAGTTTCACACTGAGAGGGAATTTAATAGACCATAGCTTATTTCCATTCATCTTTTAGCCCTAAAACATTAGCCATTTTTATGTAACATGTGCTGCTCTTTTATTGCCATGCTAACAAGTTGTTGAGCTGTATTTACAATATGCTGATTGTAAGGCCCCCTTAATGGGCTCAGTATACTTGCCCTTTCCGATTAAATTTCAGGTTTGCTGTTTCATTTTGGGCATGTGTATTTCCTTTATAAAACCTGGATCTCACCCTGTTATTTGTTGCTCTAAGTATTAGGCATGTGTACTGTTTGAATGTACATCATGGAGTGACCATTACTCAGTAACCACAAAGAATGCCAGGGTTTAAACAATCTGGAGTGATTGCATTTGCAGTTAGCTATGGCGTCTTTGAAAACCGTGGATTCAGAGTTAAATTGGGTATTAATTTCAAAATATAAAACCCAAAGTCACTTGGCACAAGCCTCTGCCATGGCTCTAACCAAGAAACCTTTATTGTGTCTAAAGAGGTTTCTTACTGAAGTGACGTCTGGGGAAAATAGGCCAGTTTCACTCTTGGTGTAAGGCCATGGGCTCTGTGTGAGCTTGCTGTTCACCACCATCCGTCTGCCTTTCTGCTTTTAATTGGCATTTTCCCCATTAAGTATAAGGCAGTTTGTTCTGGGTTGTTTGGTGAACTGATCTTTTCAGTTAACTTTAGACCAGGGTGACCCAAGTGTGGGGTTCCCGCTTGCTGTGTGCCTGATCCAAAGCCAGATGAAGTCAATATGAGCCTTCCCATGTCCACACACATCTCCCTTAGCTCCCCTGGGGTTTGCTGAGTCTCAGATAACGGAGGCGCTAGGAACAGAGTCCAGGTCTGTTGTTCCTCCCTAATGGTGCTGTGTGACCATGGGCCTCAATGAAAATCCCAAATCCAAAACCCCTCCAAAAATCAGCAGTGCTGGAAATCTTGAAACAGGATCCAGATCTGAGTTTTGCAAATGGCCCCCTTCTCTGTGACAGGCCAAACCAAAATCTTGGATCCTAAGCACCCCTAAGACAGACAGGGGAAGGCGGGATTGGGGATCTGGTCAAAATTATGCACCTGGTCCTTTCCTAGAGGCCAAACAAGAACCCCGGGTCCTAGCACCCCTGAATTTGGAGGGATAAGTTACAGATCTGCATTTTGCCTGGTTTTCAAACCCACCCCTCAGGCAGTTTCTCTTTCTCCATTAAGAAACATACAAGACCAAGGAAAACACCATGGTCATGTCTGTTTACTTCTTACGACGGAAATGCCTGTACATTGAGCTCCTGGAATGCTGTCAGAGTGGCCCCAAGCATCACCAAGTTTCTGTTTCCTCTGCTTTAGATCCTTTCCAGTGACATTCTTTCTCTCTTGCTGCTTTTCCTTCCAGTGCCCATCCCCTCGAAGGCAAACGGCACCACCATCTCTGCCCTATCGATGAACAAAGACAGTTTGATTGGAGGGGTGACAAATCCCAACGAGGTCTTCTGCTCCGTGCCTGGCCGGCTCTCCCTTCTCAGTTCCACCTCTAAGTACAAGGTGACTGTCGGGGAGGTGCAGAGAAGGCTCTCCCCACCAGAGTGTCTCAATGCCTCTCTTCTCGGGGGAGTCCTAAGGAGGTAAGTACCACACCTTACTTATCTTCCTCTGATTTTGTCTCTCCTCTGCTTCCTTCAGGTCAAAGTGTCTGAGCTATTTCCAGTGATGAACCCTTGCTGGTCATTTTTAATTATTTGCATTGCAGTAGAGCCTAGGAGCCTCAGTCAAACACAGAACAAAAAGATAAACCCTGCCCCAAAGAGCTTACAGTCTAGGGAATGCCCTTGAGACTGTCCCACTGACTTCAGATGGCATCTGCAGGTCCTTCCGATTTGGTATGATGTACAGGTCTGGTTACAATTTCAAACCCCGAGATCCGAATCTGGGAAAGTTCACATTCTGATCCAAATTGTGCAGCTGCCCCCTAGGTCTATAAAAGGCCAAGCCAAAGCCCTATCCCAAACACCTTGCCAAACTTCAGGGGTGTTCAATATCTGAACCCAAGTACGAATTTTGCAGCTTGTGCCCTAGTTCTGGGATCCATTGCAAGTGCTTTGTTCAGCTCTACCACGTGGTTATTCTTATATCTTGTCATCGGATAGAGAAGTCCCAGTCCAGGGCTCTTTTTATTTCAGAACAGCAAAGGCTGCAGAGTTGTTGAATTAAATTATTCCAGTAACAGGCCACATGTTTTGCTGCTGCTTTGGGGGATAGTCAATTTTATTGCCTTTTGCGGAGATGCAGCCCCAAACCTGCAATGAGCTCACTGGTTGGCTGTTGCTGTTGTCACTCCAGTAAGACCCACCTTTTGGAACAATATTAAAGCCCAGCAGGTCTCTGTGCACTTCTGGGCACATGGGTATTTTTGCAATACAGCGCATCACCTTGCAAGTTCCTACAAGTTTGCAGCCCAAATGCTTCTTTGTTAATGAATCTGTGAGTCTCCTGCACAAACTTAGATGAGCTGCTGTTTGTTGGAACAAAGGCATCACAGAGGATTGCTATTGTTGAGAATTTGAAACAATAAAACTAGTGATTGGATGAAGGTTCTTTTTAGTCTCATATCTGTTTCATTCTCTCCAGGGCTATAAAAGAATCCAGGACTACTGTGTCATTTGGAATATAGAAATTGATTTTAACAAACTTTATATTCTGTTATCAGTAGTTCTTACAATTGAGATTTGTGAAGCTTATTGTATATTTTATGCCAGATCAAGAGACTACTCAGTTACAACAGCAATTTGTGTGTTGTTTTTTCTTTCCTTTCAACTAAAATCTTTTCCCTCCTTGTTTCCCTCTTGCAGGGCAAAATCAAAAAATGGTGGAAGGTGTTTAAGGGAAAGATTAGAGAAAATAGGCTTAAATCTACCTGCAGGAAGGCGTAAAGCTGCCAATGTCACTTTGCTGACGTCGTTGGTGGAAGGTAAGAGTCGTTCTGTGGTTTAACATCAGACTGGGGTGCCCAACCTTTGCCCATTCTAAGTCCTCCATTTGCAATTTGACAGAAGGCCTAAAACAGAACAGATTATGCAGCAGCCATCATTAAGCCAAAGTGGGGTCTGCATGTAATTCTCCATCTTGACCCAAGCACATCTTCTGAACTAACAGATTTCTGCTGGGCTAACAAGAGCACAGTTTGGAGAAAGCACTCACAATCGGAACGAGGTAGGACTCCGCAGACCTGTCAGGGCAAATGTTGCAGCGCTTACACATGGCAACCAATGCTTTTGGGGTCCTTTAGAACATCACGGGATCTAGAATTTAGAACCACTGAAATCTGAAACCCAACCTGTGTTGCTTAGCTATGACTGGTTCACATAAGTCAAATGTTATTCTTTCTGCTCCCTCATTGTATGAGCTTAACTCTTCAAATCAAATTTTCAGCACTAGTTTGAAATGTGCTATAAATGACTATTGGAGCTTAAAATTCACTTTTGTGAATTACTACAAGTAAAACTCAGTTGCATGAAGATTCACAGAAAGCAAACACAAAAGGAGCAGGAACGCGGCCAAAGCAAACTCATTAAGAAATTATCACGAATATTCACCAACCTATTGCAAAGTTACTGCACTACTGAAAATGTTGTGTCCTTGGCCCAAACAGACCTGTTTGTTGGGACTCAGACTTGTGTAGATCTCCACATGTTCCCTTGACTTGCCTTTGAAATAGGTCAAATGCACTTCCAATCCTAGCTGCCCCTATGTCTGGATTCATGATACACTAGTGCTCCGCACACTCCTTAAAAATATGCTTGAGGTTGGCTCAATGGCTCTGCTGTGTGAGACAGCAGGGTTCAATTCCCAAAAGAGAACAGTGAGGGAACCACAGCCTTCTAGGGTGTGTACAGGAAGACAGTCTGTAGTGGCTGATCTGTGAGTATGGTGGGTGCTGAGTGAGGCTACGGGAAATATGCTATTTAGGGCCTCCATAGTCAACATATAACTTGCCCTTTAAATATGAAGTCCCCTTGCTTAAAGCTGCATGTTTAGTAGTTCTCCTCCCAGCCTTCACACTATGGAAATGATGATGTTGCTACCGCATCTATGGACCAAAGGACACAGGAAGGAGACAAATGAAATGGTAGCTCCAACTCCCTTCCAGCTTCGGAATCCATTGTATTTGCGCCCAGCGTGTTGGAGGCAGCTGCCTGCAGTTTTTGAATAGAAAATTGTCTCCATTGTTGCCAGCAAATTAAATGACCCGCTTCATTAGGTGGAGGTTGTTACCAAGGGCAGTCGGTGCGCGCTGAGTGACAGGCTGATTTCCATTCAAAGAAAAGAACGAAAAGAACGAAAGAAAGGAAGAAATATACATTTTGATTTCACGAGGCTGCTGGCTTTTTGGTTACTGCTTAACGGCTCATAGTAAATAAAAGAGTGGGGCCATGTGTGCTTGATGGATCTGATTTCCTCTTGCAACTCAGCATTCTGGTATTGGAAGATGGTTCACCCAGGGGAAGGTGCTAATGCTTTGCCATTTTTCAGCAGACAGAAACTAGGTTGCCCTGCTATGCCCCAGGCCCCTTTTTTCTTGGACATTTGCCGTCTTATTTTAATCTGTTTGCTCCCCTCTGCCTCTTCAACCTCTGTACTTTTTATTTATTCATTTTTTTATTTATTACTGGGTGTTTCTGAGCATTAATTATATTTTTATATCGATGCAGAGCTGTTCATAACTATAGATGGAGGGATGATGTCATTTATTTGTGCATAAGCTTTCGTGAGCTACAGCTCACTTCATTGGATGCATACTGTGGAAAGTGCAGAAGATCTTTTTATACACACAAAGCATGAAAAAATGGGTGTTTACCACTGCAAAAGTTTACCACTGCAAAAGGGGGGAGAGAAAACCTTTTGCAGTGGTAAACACCCATTTTTTCATGCTTTGTGTGTATAAAAAGATCTTCTACACTTTCCACAGTATGCATCCGATGAAGTGAGCTGTAGCTCACAAAAGCTTATGCTCAGATAAATTGGTTAATCTCTAAGGTGCCACAAGTACTCCTTTTCTTTTTATAGATGTAGGGAGAATTGGTGGCCGTGGGTAAATGAGACAGGGGAATAAAAATCATCACCTAAAATAGCAAAATAAGAACATTAGACACATAAAGCTGTACTCGAGGGATGTGCTTAGTGGACAGTTTGCTTGCTTCCAGAGCTTTGCTTCAAGTAGAACTCACACGCTGTTTCTCCTGTGCTAAGGTTCAGCCAGTTTGGAGTCTAAGATTTGTCTCTTTTGATTCTCAAGTGCCAATCTCATCATCTTATAAAGAGGAAGCATGGCATGCTAGAACCAGGGGGAAGGGAAGAGCAGAAGCCATCCTGATGTCCTCCATGAATGTACTATGCAAATCTCAAGGACAGTATTTAGCACTTAGATACTGCAATGCTAGACATGTTAGAAATATTTAAGAGAGCCACATGGGCAAATCAGTAGAAATAGAAATGTGTGTTTGGAATTTTTCATGGGATTTTCAGCCGTCTGCTCTCTGGCATTTTGGGTGAAGGCTTCACTGGAGTTACACCAGGGATGAAGTTGGCTTTAATTCTACACAAGATACCAGGTTACGTTCCAACTTTCAAAACACTCTCAAACACTCCAGAAAAGAGTTTGAAAAGAACGTGGCTAACGTAGGCATCTGGCCCGAAAACTTTACTGAGACTGCCAGGCGCTGAAAGAAACACGTGGGATGAAATGTTGGCTGAATTAGGGCATTACCTGTGTAAAGTCACTTGACAACTCTCCTTCATGGCTATCTCTGCCATGTGCCCTCCTGCGCCACACTGGCCTGAAGGTGTCCCAATCTATTTCATTACAGCAGGTAAGGAAGCCCCTGCTCCACCAGGCCCTGATTCAGCAAAGCACTTTAAGAACATGTACTGACCCTCGGATCAAGCCCCTTTACAGTGTCTCAAGTTGGGCTCCCAAATCACTAGTCACCTTCAAAACACTTAGCTTTAGCCACTAGCACATGCTTCCACCAAGCACCAAGGACAGAGCCAAGAAGTCCCAACTTCCAGTGCTTTGCTTTAACCCCTCTGTTATAGCTTCGGTTCCACAGAAGTGACTGTATTTTCATGCATATTGTGCACACGCACATGCGCCCACACACACAAAATCGCCCCCACTCTGATCTTCTAGTATTTCATGATATAGTGATGGCTGAGGGAGCGAGGAGGGAAAGGAAATTGAGACGCTTCAGACAGGGAAGCGCAAACACTCTGCCCAAACGAGGCTTCACGCACAATTCTCAGAGCTGGGGTGGCAGCGATGGGAACTAGGTTAATGCTATTAGGATGGATGGCCTAATACGTATGAACAGCGGGGGGCAAGTCAAATTAGCTCTGTCTGCCTAACCGGGGGTTTGGGCATGATCAATTGCCATCAGCTCTGATTATTTCCATGGGGATGCCTGAAGATGGATCAATTTCATCAATGAGAGGGCAGTTCCATGGAATGATGGATACCTAGGCTGAGCACTCTCCCCTTAGGCCTTTCTGTTCAGTGAGGAAGGATACAAACAAGACCCTATCTTCCTTCTATTCCTCCTGTGCTTCCCCCATTCCCCTGTTCTTGAGTAATCACAATATTAGGGTGTCCCCTCCCCCCCAAAAAAGGAGTCAGTCCCCTTTGATAGTCCGGGTTTGTGGTAAGGCAGCATGGTTGCCTAACACAATGGGATCATACTCTGATTCTGAAATAGGAGGGCCAGTATGAAAAGATAGAAGGAGAAAACCGGTGCGAGAAAGAGAGAGATGATGCGGGAGGTGGGAGGGACAGAGTTGTCTCTGTTATGCTTCCTCCTGTAAGAACACAGCACAATGGGCCAAATTCCACCCAGATGTAACTTCAGCCACATTGACTTTGGTGTGTTACTTTATCAGCCAGCAAAGGAGGGAGGGAGGGATTTTGTTCTTAGAGCCGGTGACTGTCAATCAGGACTCCTGGGGCATGATTCTCCCACAGCAGGGCACAAGAAACTCCCATTGCTTTCGGTGGGAGCTTGACATAGTGCAGCACCTCCAGAAGGGCCCCCCTGTGGCAGGTGCAACACGACAGGCCTGTCTGCCTCAGTTTCCCTCCAAAGCATCTTCCCAAGTATAAATATAGCCCTTGTGCATTCCATTTATTACAGAAGTCCCATGCATGTAAATTTTAACAAAGTGCCACAACCTTTGTCTAGAACTTCCCTAGCATAATCCAAAACAGTATGCACAGCATACCGTCCTAGGATCCCTCCTCATGCTCCAGCTATCCAGCCCAGTCCTCTCCTGTCCTTGTACCAAGGCAGCCAGCCCAGCCCTTCCACATCCAGAGAACAGCTCCACTCTTCCCAGCAGGAACCCCACAGCCTCTCTGCTGGGAGATCATAGAATCATAGAATATCAGGGTTGGAAGGAACCTCAGGAGGTCATCTAGTCCAACCCCCTGCTCAAAGCAGGACCAATCCCCAATTTTTGCCCCAGATCCCTAAATGGCCCCCTCAAGGACTGAACTCACAACCCTGGGTTTAGCAGGCCATTGCTCAAACCACGGAGCTATCCTCCCCCATCCCTTTACCAGGGGAGCATCCCTCACTCCCCTCCCTGTCTCTGATCCTCTCTGGTTCTTTATAGCCCCCAGTGGCGCCCTGCCCTCTTAATTGGCCAAATGGGAGCACTTGTCTTTGCACAGGAGAGCTGGACCTACTTCTTCACAGGGGCTAGCCACCCTGTGACGCAGCTAGTCCCAGAATGCTAGAGCCAATCCTGGAGAGTCCAGAGTTTTTCTCCCCTTGGCTAGAGATCTGAGGAAAAGGGCATCCAGCCCCAACAGAAATGAGCAAGGCATCCCAATAAGATATGTGGAGACTTCTGCACAAAATGCTCCCTCGTTGTTACACAAGTACAGACCCAGCTCATTAATTTGTCCTTCTTCTAGGCGAAGCGGTTCACCTCGCCCGGGATTTTGGATACGTGTGTGAAACAGAGTTCCCAGCGAAGGCAGCAGCGGAATACCTGTGCCGTCAGCACTCCGATCCCAGCGAACTCCACACCCGGAAAAACATGCTCCTGGCTACCAAGTGAGTATGCATCCCCAGCAGCATCGAGGCCCCCTTGTGCTAGGCACTGTACATACATACCACGGAAAGACAGTCCTTGCCCCAAGGAGGACACACTCACAGTAATGGGCTGCACACACTCATATCCAACGGATACACAACACAGTGAAATGCATCATTCACTCACATTGGAAGGACGAACATGAACATTCAAAGGACATGCTCATTGACACTGCACGCATTTGGCTTATGTTTGCCTTTCATGACATCTCCCCTGGGGATAACGCATCACTTCACCAAACACTTTCCTCTTATTTTTTGTTGTTGGATTGTTTTAAGCTAACTGTTTTCAAGTGGTGTTCTGCTCCAAACAGTGACTCATTAAAAATAGCTTCATGGGGTTCCTTGCTTTTTGGGCCTCAGAGACTTTCAGATCATTTCACTTAGTTTACAAGTAAAAGGATTTTATTTAACTGCCAGTCCTGCAAACTCATCCTGGGACCTGAACTTCAAGCCAGGTTCTTTCCTTCTTGGACATCATCACCAATCATAAAGATTCTGCAAGCTAAATCATGCCCTAAGTAATACCTGTGCAACCCCATTGCCTTCAAATCACGCCCTCAGTGACACCTGTGCAAACATGATTCTTACTGGGGCTTCATAATGATGCACAGGGAATTGAATCGGAGACCCATTAAACTCATCTCGTCCAGGCTAGCAAACAGCTAGCCAATGGAAATGACCTTCAATCCTTACCAGCTCAGGGCTGAATTCAGACCAGTGTCCTGGAAGGGAAACACTTGGAGTCTCTTGGCTCAGTCAGTCTCCCCAGTGATAACAGATTAAATGAATTACAGAAACAGAGCACAAACAGAAACTTAAGACCATAGGTTTCCAGCCTCTTTAAAAACGTAATGGCTTCCTTTCTCTTGTAGGCAAATTTGTAAAGAGTTTGCAGACTTGATGGCCCAGGATCGTTCTCCGCTTGGGAACAGCCGCCCGTCTCTCATCTTAGAGCCAGGTGTCCAAAGCTGCTTGACTCACTTCAGCCTGATAACCCACGGCTTCGGGGGTCCAGCTATCTGTGCAGCACTCACAGCCTTCCAGAACTACCTGGTGGAATCCCTCAAGGGTTTGGATAAAATGTTCATGAACAGCACAGGGAATGGGCATGCAGCTGGAGACTCTAAAGCATCAGAGAAAGAAGTGAAACATCGGAAATAACATGCTGTCTCCCTCCCCCTCCCCACTGGGGGGAGTTCTTCCCAGCTCATGATAGGAGGTCTGATCTTATTGGTGTTAGAAAAAAAATATGTTTTCCGAACTACGATGTTTGAACTTGAGACGCAACTCTTAAAGCAAACAAATAAACAAGAAGATTTAAAGAATTTAAGAAAGAAGAAGAAGAAAAAGAAGAAGAAAAGAACCTTAATGGACATCACTGAGATCAAGAGAATAAGACAGGTTGATGGCTTTTGTTTATTTTAATGGTGGATGCAGGAAGCCAAGTCATGTGCAATTTTATTTTGTTTTGTTTTTTAACCCACAACAAAATACTGAAGTGCCCCAGGAGTCTGTTCAAACTGAAACACCGAAAAATCACCAGAGAGGAAAGGCCTCAGCCACTCAAGATGCTTTTGAAACTGAGGCAGAAGTAAGTCAGGTGGGATTTTTTTGCATTGCAGGCAGATCTGGATGTATAACCTGCCTTCAACAGGCAGACAGGGAATCTTCCAATGATGCCACCTACACAATCGTCCTATGCCCAAGACAAGAGGAAAATCACCAGCGTTGCTGCCTTGATTTTCAAGCGGTTTTAAGACTTTGTTTACAGTTTGCAACAAACTGACACTCACTACAGATTTTCTCCAGGGCCTATGGAACCCTGAACCATGTCAGGAGAACAGTCTTACACTCAGACTTCTTTCCAAGATGGGAATTGATCAACGAGAACCTTCTGGAATGTTACATGCAAGCCAATGGGGTCAAGCAGGTTAAGTTACACCTGGGACTAAATAAAACTCCACAATCTACAAATAACAGCACACAGGTTTCTAAAATTAATAATAATAATAATAATAATTAATAAAGCACAAGGAGCAGAACTTGAACCAGGCCAAATTGAACTGAACTGTTCTAAATCTGTACATATTTATTTATGTGTAATTAAATCTGAAAGTTTTAAAATGTCCAGTGCAAGTTATTTATATCTAATTGAGTTGGGATTTTTTTTTTTTGAAAGAGGAAAGTCTTTGGATTTTCTGCCATTAGAAATGGGAATGAAGTTTTGGAGTCACAGGCCTGTAGCATGGACAACAGGCTGTGATGATAATGGCTATCGAAGTTCTGCAGGGTTTTGTACTTGCTGTTGTTTCTCTGAGAGCTGCAATCGATGTACAACACACCACAGTGTCATTCTCATTATCTTAATAAACCTCTTTTTATTTGAAGAAAACACCTTCATGTTCTCTGGGACACTTGGTTTCTTCTGTTTCTGTGGCTGCCAGAAGGAAAAGTTCTATAAATCCAAGGGAGGGGAAGTCCCCTTTTGTTTTGTTTGTGTAGCTGACATTTGACTGAAATAAACTATGGATTAATAGAAATGAGCTGAGAGTTACTGGAGCTAGGATTTGCACCCTGATCCTGCAAACAGCTGTACTTTGGGCAGGCCCCCTGCAAGAGCACAGAGCCAGTGGCAGGATTGAAGTCTTTGATTTTACTGAAGACAATACAGCAGAGATGGGTTTACAAAATGAGGATCTGGATCCCCACAAAGTTCTGGGGTGTTTGGATCCATGTTTTGGATTCAGGAGACAAAGACCATTGTGAAATTCAGACTGGAATTGGGGTTCAGATTTTACGCACACACTTGCCAAGTTCTAGGGTGTTCAGATCTGGAGTTTTGGCTCAGGTGTCTTGGTTCGGGCCTTTGTCTGCTTTATAGATATAGTTTTCCCTTAGGAATATAGCAGAGGCTGATGGAAAGTGTAGAGAAACCCTCAAATGATCGCAACATAAACATCCTTAAAAGGGAGATGTTTGGCAATTTAAAAGGAAACGTGAATTTTTTTATATTGAAATCCTCTAGGGATGGGCCCAAACTGGAGCCATTTTTCCAAATCATCATCCCTCCAAAACGTTCAGCATTCACATCAAATGGAAACTGGTGGAGAAACAGCACTGAGTTTGTAGTTTGCAAAACAGATCCCTAAACGACAATGCTCTGCAAAACCAAAAGAGTCCTGACTTTGCTACATTGGTGGCATCATCTTGCCCACATTAAGAGAGAGACTTCAGAACAGGGAATATACAAGAACTGGTTGGGGATATGGGAGGCACATCTGCTCCATGGCTTCAGAACAATATGACATGGATGCGGATATATAATTATAATCTATAAACATGCAAAGGTGAGTATAGGGGGAGTGAGAAGTCATTTCATAGTCATAGTCATACAGGTGTTGCTTGCGTGAATAGGCCACTCTGCATATACCAACTAATTCTGGTGAGTGTTCTTGAAATGCAACAGAGAGAGACATGAGACAGCATGAACATCAGGTTATAACGTACAGTAATTATTCAATTTGTCAAGGAGAAAAACTACCTCCTCTACTGTTTTCCCCTTTGGGCTGCTGCTAAGTCCCTTGAAAGTTTCATGAGCCAAAGCCTAGCTCCCTAATGTCTTGGGTGGGAACTGCTTCTTTGTAAAGTGTGTGGGAGGTTGTGGGCTCTGCCCCAGACTTCCTGGCTGCTTTTGCATAAATCACATAAAGTCTGGTTTTCAGAAGCACCCAGACCTACATTTTCAAAAGGGACTAGTGATTTTGGGTGCCCAGCTTGATACCTAAAAAGAGCCTAGTTTATATAAGGCAGGTGTAGGCACAGTCTTCAAATACGGCTCCTAAGATGGCCTCAAGTTGGGCACACAGAAATGGAGGCACCTAAAATCAGTAACCACTTGTGAAAAGTCAGGCCTGAGTCCCGCAACTGCAGCAGAAATCAATGGGAGAGGCAGGCGCTCAACGCCTCTGAAAAATCTGATTTCTAATATTGCTGTGCTTTAGTGGCACAGCAGGAAACTGGGTGTAATAATACCTCTCAGCCTCTTTGGGGGTGAAGATAAACCCATAAATACTTGGTGATGGGGCCAAATAAATATCTAGATATACAGAAAATACTGTTTTAACTCATTGATCTCCACGGAACAGAGAAAGATTAGTCACATGCCTCTCCCTTATGCTATTAAACCTTAAACAAAATCAAGGTGTTCACCCCAAAACATGTGACAGTTAGGTGCTTATTGTTGGCTTCTCTCTTTCTGCTTCACACCATCTGCATGTCTTTCCCAGGCAAGTGCAGCAAATCAGAGCAATCCAAAAGATCAGTGTTGGCCAGGAGGGTGCTTTTTATTCAGTATCTCATTAGTGCTAGAATTCACCTGCCAGGACCCCTGTCCTGTAGGGACCCCCAGTTATTTTCTCCACCTTCCCATCCTCAGAAGCCATGAGGGTCCTTTCCACAATCCAGGACCTCCCCTTGTATAAATTCCCACACTGACTACATATATCATCGTGGGGAAATATGTGACATTACTGTTGGCAAAGTATATTTCAAAACAGATTGTCTCATGATTTCTACCCGTTATGGGACACTGGAATTTCAATCTAAAATGTTGTTTGAATTAATTTTGTACAAACAACAAATCTAGAGAAACCACAAGACAGTCCCTGACATGAAACGCAAAAGTGACCTGTAGACTAAGACTCTAAGTTCCCTAATACTGAGATATCTCACGGGTTAACTATGGTTAACACTGAACTGCAACTCTGTATTTTATCATTAACATAAAGAAGAGGCTGTAGTTATGTGCTGCTATTCTGCATGCCTTTGAATAGAATGAATAATTCACCTTAATAGGATACCTTAAAAATGACAGGATGGTAATCTCTCTCTGTAGTACACCAACACAATAAATAGACTTTTGCAAGTTGCTGACTTGTGCCTGGTGTGTCCTTTCATTTATGACAGAGTCTTTGAAGTTCCAATGTACCAGATAGAGCATAAAGGAGTCAGACAATCAATAATCAATGGGAGTGTTTCTGTTGACTTTAATGGGATTTGAATCAGATGAGGGGGAGGGGAAGAGAATCCATGTAGTGAAATTGCAGGACCAAAATCTCCTTCCAGTGGTAACAAAATAATCAAATATAACCAATATGCTCAGGGGAAAAGTAAGTGGAGGAAGTAGCCTAGACAGCATAATGTCCTAGACAGAGTCCCACCCCAATTTTATTTGTTCCTGACCCAGATTTTCAGAGAACCAAACTTGAAGAATTCATCCTTTACTACACAGGATCAGAACTCTTTGCGGGAGTTTAGTTAGATTTAATAGATTTTAAGGCCAGGATGGACCATTATGATCATCTAGTTTGACTTCCTATATAACACAAACATTATCACTTGGGCCACCAGGGACTCTTGGTGCTGTAACTGAGAATAATATCTTTAAACCAACCGTTAGACTTTATCCCTCACTATTAGGGCATCCCCCACATTTGAACCGACAGCCTCTAGCACGGAAAGAGCCAGTGAGCCACTTAGTGGTACACAGACATCCAACCAGAGTGGAGGTGTTCAATGAAGCTGATAGCTCCTTACCGTAAACTGAGCCTAAGCATATTTATTCTGATGCCTCCAGGATATGTTTCTGTTTGATCTTTCCTTGCAAGCAGGAGTTTGAAGACATATCCTGGAATATAGAAGTGTTCCCTTAAAAATGACGTTCAGTTTAGCAGCATAGGGCATAGCAGACATCATATAAAAAGGCCGGTTTGAATGCAGATAACTATCCACTCCCTTTTGATGGTAGGACTGAGGTCAGATGAGATCAAAGTATTGCTCCAAATCAAACACTGGAGTGTGCCAAGATGTGTTTTGATCTCGTGTCCCTCTTACTAAAACCCTATAGGATGGATCTGTGTAGATGGGATTTTCTTGGGTATCTAGTCCTATTTTGTTAGCATACCGTCTACTGCACAGTCTGAAACTGACTTGGGAATCTTCAAGAGGCAAAGTTTTCTTGTCAAGACTCAGTGGTCTAGTGACCCATATTCTGCAAACTAATAGAATGGCTTCTCTCCCAATTTTTTCCCATGTCCAAAATTCCAGCTGCTGTGTGTGCTCCTGCTCATTATTCCATGCATATTAGATTAGACTTCAGCCAATTCTATTGCAGTACCTCCACTTAATTTAAAACTTCCCCTTCTCAAATTTATGCCTTAAAGGGTGAATCACCCCCACTGCTAATAGCTTGCCAATGGCCAAATTCCTCACCTAAGTCCCATGTTATGGACATCATTAAGGTTCAGTGACGCGTTATGCCTTCCGCTGGTTCTCTGCATAGGGGTGAATTTCAACCTAACTCAGGAAGAAGCATTTCTAAAAAGTTGCAGTGGACTTTCATCATGTTGAGAAGTAGTCAGCTTTAGTTTCTTTATGGGCTGCTTTGTGCCAAGTGTCTCAAGCAACTTTGATAAATGTCAATACAGCTATGCTGATTTACACCAGGGGAGAAAATGGCCCACCGTATCTTCATGTTTTCTTGACCAAAATGCAAAAATCATGCATGGATCTCCAAAGGGTCAGGAAGCCAAAGTTTCAACAAGATTCATTAATATTTTTAAATGGCTTTTGTAGGAGATTACACTCAGAGAAGACTGTCAGGCGAAAACTGATGGCTTCCAGTACTTAACTCTCTCTTGGGGGTGTCCAGATGAAATAGTCTTGGTTTATTTGAGGATGCTTTCTCTATTAGCTGGTGCTGGAGACTGAATCTGGGCTCTGAAAAATCCTGTTGTCCCATCTATCTCCATCCTCCAAGGCAAAGAAAATTCTGCAGCCAGAACTCAGCTCGCAACTTGATGATGGACAAGAAGGACCAGGATCCAGCTCACTCTCAAGTAGTCACGTGAATGTTTCCAGGGCTAGCAGTATGACTACTAGGCCAGTCAGAGCTAGAGGCACAGGGAGCAGATTCTGAACGTTGAATAAGAAAATGTCTATTATGGCCATATCAGCCCTTCATAATGCTTAGTGGTCGTGGTGTGGGAGCAGACTAGCCATGGTGTAACCCACACCCTGCTATCCCCTTTAAATACAAGTTTTATGTGAAGTATTCCACAAACACTTTTTTGAGATGCCTAGGACATTTCTGGCTGTACTTTCTTGTTTTCACATGGTGGAAGGTGCCAGGCTGCTTAACAGGAAGAGCTGCCACTAGAAATCTTGGAGGCCTTATTAATTCTGAAAGCTAAGTGGAACTGCAAACAGAAGTCATTGCTGTATTTCCTGGGCAGATTATATCATCCTCAGATGACTTCTCTCTTTTTATTTATTTGGCTATGTTTGCATCTGAGCATGCAGAAAATATCTAATATAGATATATAAACCACACAA